CATTCTTCGTTATTTTGAAACCCTATCCTTATCCTGGCTGTTCCCGGGAGCCCTAATATAACCCAATTTATGGGGTGAATGGGGTTTCTGGGAACCTCTCCACGGGTGTTCCTCATCCGAATGCTGGCACTTTGTGTTACCGGGTGTTTATTGCTCAGTGTGGCGTCCGTCAGTCAGTTCATGGCGTCTGATAAGAAAACGGCGAGGGAGGGTTTCCAGAAAACGATGTAGAGGCGACCTCCTGGAAGGTGAACAGCATACTAAAGATGCACTGGCTATGAAAGCATCCAGGCTGGAGAGTATGTTAGAGAGAAAGAGCCGAAACAAAAAGAAAATCATGTGCGGGACACGCACAAATATATAAGTCTATATAGGTAAAGACATGATAAGACAGAGATGGTGAGGTGAGAAAATAGAATTGAGGAAGGCGAGAAGTAAAAAAGAAGGAATTAAATTGTGTGAAACAACCTAAACTGGCCAATACTATCGAACCTATATCCCCTGATATTACTGGATATCGAGAAATTGTCATAAATACAAACCAAAAAACCTAAACTAGTAACCAAAGTGCAAATAATACGATATGGGAAAAACCAAAGGGTATATGATAGACAACACTAGTACCCATTCAAGGCTCGGTCGACCTGAAAGCTAGGGTCATTTAAATAAAATTATATTTAAAAAAAAAAAAATTAAAAATTAAAATGTCCGGCTCCACCGGGATAAGAAATAATGGTATTTCGATCCACAGGCGAAAGTCTGGACGCAACATCACGTCGGCTCCTTTGAGAGTATCTGTGCAGATACATTTACATGAGTGTGTGTAAACAGGTATACACGCATTCCGACGTGGGCGTGCAGGCGTGTATGTTATGTATATATATATGTAAGTGTCCATGTATGTCTATACTCCTATGGGTGTGGGTGTGTATAGTGCATACCAACCCCCTCCCCAACAACCCGTACTAGAGCACCGCTCCAAGCCACTCGTTTTGGTGCAATTAACATTTCTTAGCCAACATAATTGGTACGAGGAAACCAGACCACAATTATAGCTGATACTTCTTGAAGTAGATTGTACCTGATCGATTTTTTGTTTTTGTTTTGTTTCTCATAAAAATGATGGATGGAGAGCCTGGAAATGTTGCATTTGGGGCAGTCCTGGAGGATGTTATTTGTTGTCTCAGGTGCCAGCCCACACGTGCACATGGCTGTTTCGCCAATCTTAAAGTGTGTGTACATGTGGCTGCGAAGTCAACTGCGCCCGGTTCTAATGAATAGAATGACTTGCTCTGGTCTGTCCATAATACGGTAATCGTCTTGTGCGGGTTTTGGTGCCTTTCTGATTGATTTGATTATTCTCTTCTTTCGTTGATAAGAGGCTGATAGGTCACGTTGTTTTTTCAGTGTTTACTTACTGATTGAGAGCGCCCTTATATAAATGTTCAATACAGTAATGCCGGGTTGCCAGGCTGGATCCCAGTTGCAGGCGATTGTTTAGCCCTGCGTTAGTTTCGACAGTGGTACCGAGAGCGGACCGTTCAGTTGCAATGGCAAACTACTAAACGTAAAAAGTGCTTAGAGAAACCAGAACAGCCAACAGATGCTGGGGATTGGTTATGCAACGCCCTGTAAAGAATAAGCAACTAACGTTTCAACTAATAGGGATTTCCGGGTTCTGCGGATCACAAGTTAAAGAACATACAAGTAAAGGGCCCTGTTTGTACACACTGATGCGGACTAAGCAGATGGAGTTAGCCATATTTTGTACAGACCAACCTGCCCTCAGACTAACATGAACTCCGACCAACCTGCCCTCAGACCAACCTGACCTCCGACCAACCTGCCCTTAGACCAAACTGCCCTCAGACCAGCCTGCTCTCAGACCAACCTGCCCTCAAAGGCGGACCAAGAAGACGGTGGAGAGATAATATCCATGCAGACCAGTAACATCTGGAGTCATCAACAGGAAAGAGAAGTCTAACTCCATAAAAAGATGAATGGAAACGGGTGGAATCTGCAGAAATGAACCAAATTTGCAACAATGAGCCTCTAGGGCTTGAAATGCTGAAGAAGCAAAAGAAGAAGAGGCAGAAGAAGAAGAAGAACCTTATTCCAAGGGTGATCTGGTAAATCGTTTGATCGATAGGTTTGCCCCCCCAAGGGTGATCCCCCCCCCCCCCCCCCCCCCCCCCTTGGTGGCTAGCTAAAGTTTACTATACCATCCTGAGTTTTAAAAAACACATCGCCTTTTGAACGGCAGCTTAACAATGCAGATCTCAGGGAAATTATCCCAGTTGGGAACGCCCATTACCGTAACAAGTTTCAAAAACATGCTGGAAACCACTCAGCAGCTAACACAAGCAAAAAATTTCAGTCCATCAGGACTTCACAAGATATGCAGTTTTTCCATGCAATATCACATCTTTTGTATTTTGTTCTGTGCCGTTCCTGCATTCTCCAAAACTGTAGATCAGTGGAGCCGGAAGCTGGGAGTTCAAGTAACCCCTACCCCCGCTTTTTAGAAGATGTGTGAAGGGACTAAGCGCCCCCACCCACCATGTGTAGAAATTTTCTTTCAAATATTTGTTCACACATTTCACATTAATTCATAAAAAATATTTTTTTTAAACAAAACTTGTAGTTAGGCGCTTTGCTGGGGGATAAATAGTTCAACCAGCATGGCTGAACAGAAAGCTTAAGATTATAATTGTGAGTAGGTTATGTGCGCGTTATAAAATGGCTTAGCAGTGCACGCCACCAAGAGCCCTGAAAAGGACTCCTGCAGTGCGTGCTGGTGCGATCAAAGGGAGACAGACCCGAATACTACCCCGACCTGCGACTAAGTCGTCTATCGGCGAGCCAATGTGGTCCTAAAGTTAGCCGCATATCCTTTAAATCTGTGTGTGTGGGGTGGCTTGTTTGTCCTCTCACTGGGTAATGTTATGTTCAACAGTTACCCTTTACAATACTAATAATAATAATAATAATAAAAAGTAAAGTAAAGGACCCCTTTCCACGCCTTTACGCGTATATGGCATATAGGGCTAGATTTATATTTTATTGACCAATCGGCACAAGATGAGTGATTTAGTCAGTATCACGCCGGTCGCGTCGCCTTCACTTCCCGGGACTGCACCCGGTATTGTTACTAAACATTTAAACAGGTTTTAGGCCACTTGCGCCCCCCCCCCCGCCCCGTTTCTCCCTAGACAATTTATAAAAGACCCGAGGAGCCGACATCCACCGCCAAGTTTTCCTTCTTTCCTCGCCACTGGTAGTAAGAATCGGTCGACTTGCGGGTGTAAACTGTACTAATTGTTGCAGCTCAAGTTTATTTTTAAAACTAAGTGGTGCTGACATTTTTAGATACTGGTGTTGACTTAACATATTGGGGCGGGGGGGGGTGGGGCGCTGTAATCGAAGTTACTGTTTCTTTCATTTTTTTCTGCCATTGTAAGATACTTCTTTCTCTTTCTGCTGTCATTTCTGGTCTTAAGTGCAGACATTTTTGTTTGTTTGTTTTAGTATCCAGAAGCCATGAGTTGTTAACCCTTAGGCTCGGTATTTTTTATATCGCAACCTTTCGGCCTTGATTCCATTGTAAATACCGTAAATCTGTGAGAAATGTGGCTTTTCTGCCTACCCCCGGGAGTGAACCCGGACCACAAGGGGTTCGTCACCCGGTCACCGCGCAATCCGGTTTAGCCAACTACACTAGAGAGCCGGGCTAAGTGCAGACATAAATATGATCTGTGTGGTTCATGTGGCTTCAATGACACTTATTTTATATTTTGTAATATTCCTCCTTTCCTCCTAACTCAAATATCCCCTCACCAATTGCCTCCTAACTCACAAGTTCCTTTATGACACGCTACCTAGCTCAAACATCCCTTTATCAAACGCTTCCAAACTCACATGTTCCCTCATCACACGCCTCTTAACTCAAATGTCCACTCATCAAATGCCTCATAGCTTACATGTCCCCTCAACATATGCTTCTTAGCTCACACATGCATCCCAACTCACAAGTCCCTTCGTCAAATGCCTCCAAACTTGCATGTTCCCTCATTACACGCCTCTTAATTCATGTGTCCCCTTATCAAATGTCTCATAACTTACAAATCATCTCGATACATGCTTCCTAGATACAAAGTATCTCCCAATTATATCATTTATAGAACACAAGCAGCCTAAATCTGTTCATGGGTAGATTAACACAAGACCATAACACTGTAGACTGAGGGTAAAATGTCTCACCCAACCCTCCCTCTCCCTTTAAAAAAAAAGTTTTGTGTATGTCCTGGCGAAGTAACAATGTTTCAATCCTGTCCCTGCCCACTGCTATTTCTAAACAAATTTTTCGGTTATAAAAAAAATAAAAAGTTTCTTGGACTTAGTTAACTAACTCATCATCCTCAATGCACATCGCAGACAAGCCCATAAACACTCAGATCCCATTCTCTGTATCTCTCTCCCTTAGTGTGCGGCAACAGTTCTGTATTGGTTCATTATTCCTCTTTGGCTATTTGTACCGGGTTTATGTACGGCAACACATGCGTTGATATGAATTTTGTCTAGTTCTGTCAAGGTTGTCTATTCATCATAGCCCTGACAGCAAGCAAGTCAGGCTCTTGGACCAACAGAGGTACGTAATAATTAACATAGTTAACAACTCAAATAGAAAATACAACAAAAGTATACATAACTCGTATCCTCTTCCTTCTTCTTCCCGCAATCCCCTATTTGAGTACAATAAACCAACTCAATAAACCAAGCAATGACAAAATATACAAAGACAAACATATGAGGACAAAGTATGCAAGGACAGAGTATATAAGGACAAAGTATCCAAATCCTCCTATCTATAGCAATCTTGTAAAGCCCAACTTGTCCTAACGTTATTATTAACGTATGTCTTTATTTATCTCCTAGTGGGATTGTTATCGATGTTTCACTTTTGCATTTGCACTTTCAGAGAAATAAAAGGCATTACTCACATCTTTCGTCTCCTCATCGACTGTTTGATTTTCAGCTATAATGTAATCTTCTGGTCTGAAACAGGAAAACAAATATACGTATAAATTCCGCTTCGTGCGCGTCAAGGTGTGTTACTATAAAAATAACAGTACTAATATACGTTAATCAATCTTTTGATTTATATCTATACTATAAATCACAAATCACAAACTTTTTCTGTATTTTTCTTCTAACTCCTCGCAAACGTTGATAATTAAACGGCTGAAATTAATCAAATGACATTATGGCCACAATCTTTAATTCAACAGTGACATTGGCCACAAGATTTATATGCATTTCTTTTCATTCGCATCACAATCACACAAAGTAAACATTCGCTGGAGTTATATTTGGTGCATAAGAATAACAATAATATTTACTGTGTGCACTTTAACCAAACGTGGGCTAGACTGTCTACGTCTCCTGACCCGGTATTTGAAGCAGCCCAGGGGGCAATGACTCTCTTTTTCAAATATAAGTTTTCTACATTACTCCGAAGGAACTCCGAAGTTATGAAGTAGCAGCACTGTGCTGAACATGAGCGGGGGTGGGGACGGGCGGAAGTGTGGGGGAGGTAGGAGCCTCCTAGAGTGCCTAGACCAGCGGTTCTAAACCTTTGTCACGACTCTTTTAGGGGTCAAACGACTCTTTCACAGGGATCGCCTAAGACCATGAGAAAACACATATTCACTGAAGTTTTGAAGTAGCAACGATTATGGTTAGGGGTCACCACAACATGAGGACTGTATTAAAGGGTCACGGCATTAGGAAGGCTGAGAACCACTGGCCTAGCATGCAACATTCACGTTCTGGAAGGAGATCACAATCCAGAGGTGGATAAATAATCAAAGCTTTCCGAATATCCCTGATCTGTTTGTGATACTTAGTGTTTGTGTATTATCATATACTAGATTACGTTTTGACTTTGCCCAAGATAAAAAGGGAGTCGCCGTGGCCGAGCGGCTGGATGCTCGCCGCGAATCGGAAGGTCGTGGGTTCGCTTCCTGGTGGAGCTGGACTTTTTTTCAAAAACGACTTTGGCTCCCAGGTCGACCCAGCCTTAAGTGGGTACCTGGTGCAGTCCCAGAAAGTAAAGGCGGCCGGCGTGATGCTGACCACATTACCCATCTTGTGCCGATTGGTCTATAAAAATATAGGTCTAGTCCTATTTGCCCTATACGCCTAAAGGCGTGGAAAAGGGTCCTTTACTTTACTTTAACAAGTTAAAGAAAAAATTTTACATGATTATATGTGTAATTATATTTGCAATGCATACAAAGCCACACTGATAAATATTAGTGATTCAGTTTTACAAGATGGTCATATTATTTCGCAGTGTACTGTTTATCATAAACACATAAAAACTAAGAAGGTACAGGGTTCAAGCTACAGTTACGATTTAAAAAAACAAAAAACTGTTTTTTCATTGCATATTTTCAGAATTCATTGTTCTCATGCTTTCGTTAAAAAAAAAAAAAAAACGTTAAGGGTGTCTACAATTAATTATGACTAAAGTTGGAGCTGTGATTGCGTGCTGGTCTTTCCCACTGCCAGTCTACTGGCAAGACATCGACCTGGCTGCTTCAAGATACTAAGATTTGTGTGGTAATGTTTGATTTATGTATGTGCTAATGAAGGCTCCATAGCCGTAATGTTCACATTTTGTTTGTGTTTGGTATATCGTGAAGCTTGCTGATATACTTTTCGTTCGGTTTTATATCTTTTCTATCCCACCGAAGGTTCTGTGGCAGTTTAAGTGGTGGCAGCTTAGTCGGTCAAATCTTTGGGGCGTTGGAATAAATCAGGGAGTGGTTAGATCCACGGGTGCACTTAGAGGTTGTGACTATATATAAGGCAGCGGTGGAGACAAAGATGAAGTAGAGGACGGGGCGATGCTCAGCAATTACATATGGGGTATTGGCTAGACCCCTTTTTTTCAACATATATGCACCTAATATTATGTGAAATGCAATTAGTTATGAGGCACGTGACAGCTTCGAACCACTTATAGTTGGAGTCAAATCTGTCCCAGAATTCAGACATGCAGAACTGGTGGTGTTCAAATTTACAACCCTACTGAAGGTGCTGGGGCACGATGGGGGGGGGGGGGGGGGGGGGGGGGTTGCAAACAGTCCAAATTGTATCCATTTGTCACAACCGGGGAGGGAGGGGGACTGGAGCTTACTAGACATAGATCAACCTTTCCTTAATGGGTACTACCACCCCCGACCCCCACCCCTCATCCACACTGTGGGGTGCGGAGGCAGCTGATTTCAGGATTGGTAAGGCGGAGACAAAAGTGAAGCAAAGGAGGACGGGTGAATATAATTTGTTTGAACCATCCCAGGCGAGGCATAAGAATAAAGGAAGGCCAAAAAACACATGGAGAAGAGAGCTGGAGAATGAAGTTAGAAAGATGGGGAGGACATGGGGAGAGCTCCATGCAATGGCGAAGGATATAACGACTTGTCGTGAGTTGGTTGAGGGCCTATGCTCCATTGGGGGATAGAAAGGCAGAAGAAGAAAAAGAATCCAAGGCGAAGCCGGGCAATAAAGCTAGTGTGTGTGTGTGTGTGTGTGTGAGTGTGTGTGTGCGCGTGTGCATTGGTGCGTGAATGCGTACACACGTGTCTGTGTGTTAATGTGTTGAGAGAAAGAGAGAGATATATAGTCAGACCAAGGAGAGTTCTTAGCAACAGACAATGCAGACGGATGAATGAATGGATGGAAAAGCAGAGAAGCAGACACAAATAGAGAGCGAAACGGTGCAACAGCTAGATGTGTCTAGAAGGATAGAGAGACAGAGGGAAATTGGCATGATGAGAGAAACATGTCAAAGCAGATGGACGGATGGATGAATGGATAGATAAACAGATGGATAGATGGAGGATAAAATATCCTACAAAACAGTACAGGAGAATAAAGAACACAAGGACAAAGTATACAAGGATAAAGTATACCAGGATAAAGTAGGTAGTTGTATCGAGCATAAAGAAGGCAGAACTTACCGTATGACCTCGCCGTACTCATCAGCTTTGACTTTCTCTTCTATATAAGGATACATAGGGTAGGCCTTCTTCGCCTGCTTGAAAAACCCGGTCCTGGCCTTCCCCTGTTCAAACAGAGAAGAACAGTTTAGTGGTTACTGTTACAAAAAGAAGAAGAAGAAGAAGAAGAAGAGGAAGAGAAGGAGAAGGAGGAGGAGGAAGAGGAAGAAGAAGAGGAGGAGGAGGAAGAAGAGGAGGAGGAGGAGGAGGAAGAAGAAGAAGAATAAGCAGCAGCAGAAGAAGCAGAAGAAGCAGAAGAAGAAGAAGAAGAAGAAGAAGAAGAAGAAGAAGAAGAAGAAGAAGAAGAAGAAGAAGAAGAAGAAGAAGAAGAAGAAGAAGAAGAAGAAGAAGAAGAAGAAGAAACAATCAAAGCAATGCTTCCCAACTGAAAAATTGACCAAAGAAAAGGTTAGCTGCGTATCCTTTACAGGACGTTGCAGAACCAACCCCAACAGCCCCTGGCTGTTGTGTGGTTTTTCTAGGTTTTACGTCAAGTAGTTCGCCAGTTTCTTACTGGACGGTCGGCTTTCTTGATACCACTGCCGAAACCAACGCAAGGCCCATGGCCCGCAGTTGGGATCGAACCAGGAATCCCGACATTACGAAGCGTTCGCATCGACTTAGCCACAGAGCCGACTGACCAAAGAAGACACAACAGATTGCGCAATCTACTGCCTAGCGTATCCCACCAAATTCGGTTTTAGGTTTAGGTTTAGACGACGGATCAACATCATGGCACAAGATTAGTAACCCATAGGTGTTCTGTTCTACTTCTGACTGAGCCTGAAAAATCTCAGCGCAGTGCACGAACTCCGTAGCACTGGCAAGGATCCTGAAATACTTTGGGTAGATTTGTACCTCCAAATATTGCCCGGGCAGCGCCGCCAGGCTACGCTTTTTCGATTTCCAACTGCAAAAGGATTTTTTACGTGCACAAAAGTACACACGGGCATCCGATCTTACTATTTAGAGACCAGGGGAAATTACTGGAAGTCCACGTGAAAAAATCCCAGCCTTCACCGGGGCCTGAACCAGGGACGTCCAGCACTCGAGGTGGACGCCATGCCTCGAGACCATGCAGCCCCCCCCCCCCCACTGTCTGCATGGGCTGCAGGTTATACCTGGATTGTGTGGCAGTTACAGGTGCCCTAGTTTCAACTTCTTTGAGAGTGCGGCGGGGGGGGGGGGGGGGGGGGGGGGGACGCGAGGGGAGTGGGACTGAAGGGATATCTGCCATATGTCTTGTTGACAACAAATCTTAAGGAGGTATGGGAGACATTCAGGTGACAGCTAGGTATACATAAACTGACGTATCGACTGATCGCGTTGCCTAATTCGCTAGTAGGCACTGTGCCAGTTACAGAGGTAGCAGGTGATGAGAGTCACGTGGATATTTTTGTCCAGGCCATTCAGGTATGTCTGGGAATAAGCAGGCAGATAAGCTGGTTGGACTGGTCCCACTTAAAGGTCTACTGCAACTGCACAAGGCGGAAGTGATCTCTAACCTGTGGGACAAGGTAAACAGGGGAAAATGGAAGATACTGAAAACCCGTACCTGGGGGAGAATGTTTCAAATGAGAGTGACTGTGGGCTCTGGGTGCCACTCAAGACTCAGAGGGAAGACAAGACAGATGACAACGAGCACCGTCGGTATCGAAACTCTTCGCTGTCTGTTGAGGAGGGAGACGGCGCTAGTATGAGCTTGTCCTGAATGCTGTGATGTCGAATCTTTACCCAGAAAAACCCGATACAGGGAAATATGTAAGAAGTAAAAGTAAAGAAATCGTTTCCAGCCGTCGCGCAATGGACACATGCTGGCAGTAAAAAGTTAAAATAAAGATCTTTTTACACACAAATTGATCAACCCCCGTTTGCAGGAAGAGACAGCTAAACGGGATTCTTTTTCTGCGTTCTCCCGTTTGTAGGAAGAGACAGCTAAACGGGATTCTTTTTCTGCGTTCTATCTCCCAATGGGACAAAGACCCTCAACCAACTCACAGCAAGTCGTTATATAGAAATGAAGTCGATCCCTGCACGTCTTCTTGTTCTTCTTGTTTTTCTTGTTTTTGTTCTTCTTTTTCTTCTTCTTCTTCTTTCTCTTCTTCTTCTTCTTCTTCTTCTTCTTCTTCTTCTTCTTCTTCTTCTTCTTCTTCTTCTTCTTCTTCGAGGTTCACCGGCTGCCAATTCCGGCGGAAAGTTCTGGTTCTTCGTCGACTTCTGTTATACATATCTGGCCTATTTGTATGCAGACGGTTGGTTCACCGCCTCGTTAGCAAACAGAATAATGCAGCTCTCTCGATTCAGATGACAATAATCCACCCAGGGGTGGAACAGTGTAACCTATTTTAGGCGATGATGATCCACAGAGAGACTGACCCCTTGCGTGCTCTTTAAGATGATACAAGCTGAACCCGTTGACGCGGTGTTACAATTCTGATGACAAGATGGAATTCAGAAAGCACGCACAAACACTTTGTGACTGAGTGGATTTTTACAACTTTTTGTTTTTCCATAGATTACGGTGGATTTTCATGGGTATGGAAACACAATTGGAGAAGGATAGCAGAGAGTTATGGCCCATGTAGTATATAGTTTGTCGTGGATGACAGTGTTATTTTTGTGCCAGGCTTTACGAAATCATTCTATGATATGAGAAATGATGCCGCTAACGATCTGCATGTCGTAACGTCATGGCGGGGAAACATAAAATACTGGATTATCAGCCACCAATCTGGACACAACCTGAGAAGAAATGATCGAAGAATCACCAGTCAATCAAATGTGAAATGAAGGGGCTGAGGAAGCCAGGACGTCAAGAAAGAAATCCTAAACCGAAGGTGATGAAAAAGGCCAACGGTTGTAGGCTGGATTCCATCCTTGATATCACATGGTCTGCACTGGATAAAACGGAACGAATGAATAGACTGTGAGCCTTGTGCGGCATATAATGGCACACGGCCAGCTAGCAGTAAGCCGAACAGGTCTACGGAAATTCTTGTTTTGTTAGGCTGGTCTATGGCCGGTCTGTGCACACCATTGTTATCGAGTAAATTTGAACAAAAATCAAACTACAGATTAATTAACGTGCAATATATTTTATTTAATGAATTATCATTATGAAGATAAATAAGTTGGCCATTAGAAAAAAAGAATAATAATAATAATAAAATATTCAATTAAATATGTTGCAAGTTAATTAAACAGTAGTTGAATATATGTATAAATTAACTCGATAACAATAGTAAGCCCAGACCGGCCGTGGACCGGCTAACAAAGCGGGAACCGATCGGATCCGAGATGTTGGTGCATTATTAGAGCCTTGCTTACAGGCACAGCACATGATGATGATATACACACATTTTTTAAACTTTGCCGGTCAAGATCAAGCTGGCATAGCAAGTGAAAATGACATAATCTATCCTGCATTTCAGCAGAGAATGACACAATTGATTGAGTATTGCAAAAAAAAAAAAAAAAAAACACACACACACACACACACAAAGAACGAACGAACTTTATTTTCAAAGGGTCACAAATTGGGCACGCAAGCCCAACTTACATCGGCCCTTCTAGTCAACAATTTTTAGAGAGAGAGAGAGAGAGAGAGAGAGAGAGAGAGAGAGAGAGAGAGAGAGAGAGAGAGAGAGAGAGAGAGAGAGAGATGGTGAAAGTGGAGTGGGGCGGGGGAAAGGGGCACACTTTACTACCTCTAATTACCAACGCCTCTGGTCAACAGTAAAAAAAGTTAGTTGCGTATCCTTTACAGGACGTTGCAGAACCAACCCTAACAGCCCCTGGCTGTTGTGTGGTTTCTCTAGGCAATATACGTCCAGTAGTTTGCCATTGCTTCTGGACGGTCGGCTTTCTTGATACCGCTGTCGAAACCAACGCAAGGCGCAGTGCCCGCAGCTGGGATCGAACCTGGCATCCCGGCATTACGAAGCGAAGCGTTCGCATCGACTTAGCCACAGAGCCGACGTTAACAGTAAGCTTGTGTGATTTCACTTGACAGGTGTTATGTTGTCGAAAAGGTTAATCACATATTAAATCTTCTTTTTTTTTTTATGTCACTCAACTGTGGCAGACCGAGCCCTTCCCGAAAAGATAAATCCAGTTGGCCGTGATTCAGACAAACGACGTGACAGGACAGTGAACGGTGACTAACTTTGATTTAGCAGTCTGTGTGCGGGCAGTTGCTGATGGAGATTGGCAGCTGATGAAATGGATAAACAGACACAGATATATGTTTAGATAGACGGCAGACAGACAGATAGGCATAGGGATGCGTGTGTAGGTGGACAGAAAAACATACATACTTATATAAGAATGGACGGAAAGATATACATATGGGGTGTGTGGACAGAAAGATAGACAAAGACAGTCGAAGCCGACGGTGGGCAGACAAACTGAGGAGTGGGTAGACAGACAAGCGGACAGATAAGCAGAAGCAACATACAGGCAGACATACTGATGGATAGGCAGACGTAGATACAATTACACGAGCAGACAGACATATATATATATACATACACACATACATACATACATACATACATACATACATACATACATACATACATACATACATACATACATACATACATACATACATACATACATACATACATACATACATACATACATACATACATACATACATACATACATACATACATACATACATACATACATACATACATACATACATACATACATACATACATACATACATACATACATACATACATACATACATACATACACACACACACAGACATACATTATACGCAGACATTTACTCACACACGTAAATACAGAAATACATTTATATAAGCATTTTGTAACAAACAAAACACTTATACATTTACATACATAATACGAACTCCCACACTCAAAAATACACATACATACATAAGAACACATTAACAAATACACATAAATACATACATACATTCATACATACATACATACATACATGCATGCATGCATGCATACATACATACATACATACATACGTTAGTACGTACGTACATACATGCATACATACATACATACATACATACAT